TCGACGAGATGGCGAGCATCGGCATCTTCGGCAACCCTGCGCCAACGCGTTACCCACACAATCTTATCACGGTTCATGACGAATTTGGCGACAAGGTCTGGGTGTTCATAATCGAAAAGTTCCATCAGGTCGTTTTCCACGTCTCGCAGCGATTTCTCCGTGCCGTCCTCCGCTTTGCCACCAAGTATTTCCAAAGCCTGTGTGGCCTTCTCCTGTTGTATATGAGCATCGGTATACGCAGAACCAATTTGGCGTTGTAACCAGTAAGCGTCGATTTGCCGGGCAGGAACTATCAAGTTCTTGTTCCGCCGTTGGTCAGCGCGATCTAGTCCACCGTCGATGACCATCTCTTCCTCAGCCTCGAGACCTTCGATATTCGCTTTCTCGGTCGTCGCAGCCTCAATATCGGGAGCTTCTTGTTCATCTGGCTCTTCATCGTCGGTCAGGTCATCCTCGTCTCGGACTTCGGTGACAGTGCCCATGCGCTCATCATCCTCATCTTCCTCGTCGAAGACGACGGCAACACCCTGACGTTCGTCGAGCTCTGCCTCTTCTTGGCCATCCATTCCGCCCTCCATCTCTTCGTCCTCGTCCTGCGCATCGTAGTCCGTAATCTTCTTTCCCAAATTTACAAGTTCGTTGAACTCTTTTGGACTCATGGAGCTGCCGAGCAAGTCGTCAATCTCCTTTTTCTTGTCGAAGTCCTTCATATCTTCGTCCTTCAATAGCTCCAACACAGCATCGGCAGCACTCCGAACGACTTCGTGAGGGACATCACCCAGATGGCTTGCAGTCATTGTAAGGATAAGATCGTAGGTCGCGCGGGTGGCGGGCGTTCGAGGGCGGTATTTCAACCCTTCGATGAGAGCATCGGCAGCGGAGAGAATACCCTGGCCGCGTAATTGCTGTTGCCCGCGACGTTTTCTCTGTTCTCGAGCGAGCACATCCTCGCCTTCTCGGATCGCACCTCGCTCGATATCTGTAGGTCCGACGGGTTTCTTCTTAGTCTTTGGCGCATCGTCATGCGCGACTCTTGAACCCATCTCCCGAATGCTGATGCGCCCAGCAAGGGATTCTGGGTCTCCGGTGGGTTCATCATTGATGCGAGAGATGAAACGACGGTCCGCCTGGAGAACCAGGTTGGACATCGCCGAGTACTTGTACTGGGAGATATTTTGGTCCGCCATCTTGATGGTGTTTCAACTGCAATCAAAAAAAAATTCCGACAAGAAAGAACGATAGTGCGACGACTTCTTTCAGTCGCCCGGGCTCGGTGGAGCTCAGATACAGCCGGCGCGTCGACACACCTGCGTCAAGAAATGAATGGTGGAAATAATTAAGTGTCCGTAAAGGTTTCACAAACCTGGATCATCCTCTTGCAGCAGGCAAGCTTACTCGTTGTTGCAGGGTTGCAAGCTGCCTGTAGTGGTTTGGATGGTTGAAGGGAGATGGCGTTTGAAAGTTGTCGGGAAGTTCTTCTGCAGCAGATTTCAGTGGCGAAGCGGGAAGGTTTGGCGAGTGACACCTGAGATTAGAGGTTCCCGTTTTAGTCCCGCCGCCCGCATCTCATCCACAGCAACACCAACAGCACGTTGGTGACTTGCTCAGCTCGGGACCATGCGCATCAATGGATGTCGATTCGCTCGTTTAGTGCCGCCGCAATTCCATCATGTTCATAAATTCGACACTTCTGCCGCGCATCGTTGCCTTGTGCACCGAACGATCTGTCACCATGCGCGCCGTCCACACGCCCGCGTCGAAGCTTCGTTATCAACGCCGAATCTCGAGCTCAGAAGAGGGGCAAGAACGAGGACTAAGGTCAAAGTCAAGGATCTACCGCAGGGAACTTTGAAACTCGAGCCGTATGACGACGGCGCTACCGGCGCTACGGACGATGCGCCTCGATATCCCACGGTCGTACAGGGACATCGGAATAACATGCGGAAGTTCAGGAATTGTGTTATTTTGACTCGAGTAGGAGGCTTCTACGAGGTACGGACTTCGGACTGGCGGTCCAAGTAGAGTTAGACAGTCGTATTCTCTCTTCTGAAGGCAGCATAGATCCCTAACAGATTCTCCAGCTCTACTTTGAGCAGGCTGAAGAGCTAGCTCCGTTACTGAACTTGAAGCTCGCCGTCAAGAAGACCAGCGCGGGTCCTGTTCCCATGGCGGGATTTCCCTTCTTTCAGCTAGATCGGTTTTTGAAGATTCTCGTCCAAGACTTGAATAAATACGTGGCTATCAGCGAAGAGTTTGCCAATGCCGCTGAGGATAAAGCCCGGGGCGGTCTGCTCTTCGATCGCAGGGTAGCCAGAATTATCACGCCAGGTACCCTAATCGATGAGAAGTTCATGGACCCTTCGGAGAACAATTTCTTGCTGGCGGTTTATATCGACGTGGCAGCCTTGAAAGCGCAAGTAGAACAACAGGAGGGCGACTTGTCTGCGCAGCAGCACATATTGTCTTCCGCATCCCAGCACGTTGGCTTGTCCTGGCTGGACTTATCCACAGGAGACTTCTTCACACAATCGACTACCACTCAGATGCTTCCGTCGGCAATTGCTCGGATCGGAGCGCGGGAGATACTCGTGGACCAGAAACTTCAGGACCTGATCGGGCAGGAGTTGCAACTTCTGGTTGGGCATGACCATCGCCTGATGACCTTTTTCGCATATCCCAGCAAGATTCTACCTATATCACAGTGGAGCTCTGTGCTTGAGGCGCAAGTAGCTGACCAAGATTCCGATGCTTTCACGCCGGAAGAGGTCGCAGCCGGTTATAGCTTGCTGGAGTATATCAGAGTTCAGCTGCAGGGCTTGAATCTGAAGCTTCAGCCGCCTCGTCGTCGACATCTGAATGAGTCTATGAACATCGACCGGAACAGTCTGAGAGGCCTGGAAATTCTCGAGACGGCGCGGGATGGCTTTGGGAAAGGAAGTTTACTACATGCGGTGCGCCGGACGTCTACCAAAAGTGGAGCACGTCTGCTGAGAGATCGCCTGAGTATGTCTCACTCTGTTCTGTATTTTCGCAGATTGCAGCGGCATCGACTGATATATTCGTAGCATCCCCTTCCACATCATTGCTGGTAATCAACGAACGACTCGACCTTGTATCGGTCTTCCTCGAGAATAGTGATTTACGCGACAGTGTAATCCAACTGCTGAAGCGAAGCTATGATGCTCAACGCTTGGTCCAGAAATTCACCTTGGGGAGAGGAGACGCGGACGACCTGATCTGCCTTGCCAGGGCTATTCAGGCTTCGAGAGAGATCAAAGTGGTTTTATCCAGCCAACATAACGGCCGACTTGAAGCTTTGCCTCATATACAGTCGAACGATGCCAAGCGTAGTCTCTCAGCTATGACCGGTCAACTGTGCCTGGATGGACCGACCGCGCTGGCGGATCGGATCTCAGCTGCCATTGACGAAGAAGGTCTACTGCAGAAGCAGCGTCTTGCGGATGATACGGCGGCTGAAGCGGCGATGCTGGCGCAGGAAGTAGCCATGAGCGAGGGACTGCCTGGAGAAGTGGAGACGCTTCCGAAAAAAGTGAGAGCTAAGAACAGCGATCAATCCAAGGCCTCGACGGAAGAAACAACCGCGCCGGAAACTTGGATCATGAGGCGCAGTGCCAGCGCAGCTCTTCTTGAGCTACATGAGTCCTTGGACCGTCTGCAGGATGAAAAGACCCGTCTTACTCAACGTCTTCGCGAAGCCGTCGGGTCTTCTGCCCTCTCGTTGAGATGGACTTCTGGCCTGGGACATATTTGCCATGTCAAAGGAGCCAAAATTTCCCAGCAGTCTCTAGAGGAGCTAGGTGTAACGCGGAATGTGTCTTCAACCAAATCGACACGGTCCTTTTACCTTCCCGCCTGGACAGCGTTGGGAGACCGAATGGACCAGGTGAAAGTCCAAATCCGACAGGAGGAACAGGCGATCTTTGAGACACTGCGCCGCGAAGTGATTCTCAACCTAGTGAAGATCAGACGCAACGCTGCCGTAATGGACGAGCTTGACGTTGCGTGTTCTTTCGCCACCTTGGCTGAAGAGCAACGTTTAGTGCGTCCGATCCTCACCAGTGGAGTAACGCACAAAATCGTTGGGGGAAGGCATCCAACAGTCAAGCTTGGGCTTGAGGAGCAAGGGCGACAGTTTGTCAGTAACGACTGCTTCCTGGGCGATTCGGAGAGGATCTGGCTCATCACTGGTCCGAACATGGCTGGTAAAAGCACGTTCTTGCGCCAAAATGCGCTCATCACCATTTTGGCACAGGTTGGGTCATTCGTGCCCGCTGAGTATGCGGAGATTGGCATTGTAGATCAGATATTCAGTCGGATTGGGGCGGCCGACGATTTATTCCGAGACCAGTCCACTTTCATGGTGGAGATGCTGGAGACGGCCACCATACTGAAGCAGGCGACAGCGCGCTCCTTTGTTATCATGGATGAGGTTGGCCGCGGGACAACGCCAGAAGACGGGACAGCCATCAGTTTTGCCTGTCTGCACCATCTGCACTACCGCAACAAGTGCCGGACGTTGTTCGCAACCCATTTCCATGCTTTAGCGGACATGACCGATGACTTTGAGGCACTGGGGCGATACTGTACCGATGTGAAAGAGACCGCGTCGGGGTCGTTCTCATTTGTTCATCGACTGCGCAAGGGAGTGAACCGTAACTCCCATGCGCTGAAAGTCGCGCAGCTCGCAGGCTTGCCGAAGGAGACCCTAGAGATGGCCAGTCGAGTGCGACAGTCGTTGGGTAACCGCGCTCCATGGTCATCGGGCGGCAGCCATAGCCATACTATCGCGTCAGCAACCGCGTAATGCCCGTTACTCCTGACCCTCTATGTACATGTTCCATGTCTTCTCGTGTGTTGCATTTTTGCTCGAGATACCAATCTAGTCATGCTTAACGTACATTCGTAATACATTAACAGAGATCCTCTATGGACAAAGGCCTCCATTCCAGACGTAGGCAAGAATCCCACACTTGAGGGTCTCAGAGCTTGGAAGCACCCGACGTCCGACTCCTCCCCAAATCAACCACAATCCCCTCCCCAAACGCAGCCTCCTGCACATCCTCATCATCCACTCCATTGACAAACTGCACAACCACAAAATCCACCCGCCTGGGACCCAGCACCACCATCGGCGCATGCCACGTCCCAACCCCATACGTCACCGCCTGCCCACCCCGCGCCACAAATGCCCGCATATTGTTCAAGTCGGGCGGATCCCTGATCGTCACGGTGTCCCCCGAAGGCGTAGTCGCCGTTGCCGTCTGGCCCTTCAACGTCGGCGCCACGATAACCAGGTAGAATGGTTCCTCTGCATCGCCTGCGCGGGTCTGGCTGGATAGGTCAAGAGGTGTGAATGTCTGCGTGGTGAAGGGGTGTCGCTCCAGGATGCGGACGTCGAAGACGCTAGCCTCCCCTCCTGTTGCTTTGGCGGTGCGCAGTTTGCGTGGGAAGCACGAGAACATGCTCATGCGGGCGGAAGAGGGCTGGGCGCTGGGACATTGCGCGTAGTGGTCGAGCAGCGGGGAGATGGGGCTGTACTTGAGGGCGGAGGATTGATTTGCACTGACTGGAGCGGGATCATGAGGAGGGAGCGAGGAGAGAGGAGGCGCAGAGGAGAGATCGCGTGGGAGAGGACAGCTGATGGCGGTGCCGAAGGGCGCGAAGGCCTCTTTGGTGAAGGGTTCGGGGGTGATGCGGAGAGTCGGGCTGGAGGTGAGGATGGGCGTCATGGTGTTTGGGTTCGAAGGGGTTGAGGATTTGGCTAATTGTGTAGTGTATAAAGGTCCTTTGAACAATCAATGGCAAGGACCAGCCTTGCAGAAGCTGAGAGCAATGTTGGGTTAATAACTTAGAAGAGCAGTGGACAATACTCCATCAAGTGTCGGCACTCGCCGTGGGTGACAGCCGCTAAGAACAGCTTCGGGAGAGGCCGACTATCATCAACACTTCACTTATCAACTCCATTTAGAGGCGCAGTTCGCAGCCCAAAATAAGTGTTCAATATGCATCCTATGCTGGTCAATGATACATTTCATTCCTCCGTTTCAAAAAGAGATTCAGTTTGTTGATCATTAGCGTCAACTGGTTCCTAGTCCTCCTCTAACCAGTTGGCGGACTTTCTTGGTCGCCCATCAATACATCCATACAACAAATGGCCCACCACTCCTCAGCTCAATTTCAAGGGCTAGGCTAGCACTGGTCTATATCAAAATGCAGCAGAAGCATTGACAGGTCCGGAACAAAGACGCCTCTAAATGTGGATTCTCCTTTTCTTCCCCGCATTCCCGCAACTCCGCAAAAACCGACTGGCATCAGCCATTAACCGAGGCCAGTTTGTCATTGATAGGAACAATAAGCGGACTTCATTCGGCTAGGATAACTTCTTTTCTTGCTATAAGTATACCGAGGATTACTGCTAGAAGTTCTTCAAGTGATTGACTCAAATTCATTCAACTTCACCGTTGTACTCTCTAGTAAAGATCCAATGGCCTCAACGTCCGACCTGCCGAGGAAGCTCTGGGAGCATCCTAACCCGCAGTCTACTCAGATGTGGGCTTTCAAAACGAAGTTAGAGAAAGAGAGAGGGCTTCAGCTTCCAGTACGTACCTTTGAGACTGGTATCCCACCTTCCTTTGTCGTCTAACGCAATTGCTAAGGACTACCACTCGCTCTATCGGTGGTCGACGGACAACCGTGCATCCTTTTGGGACTTTTGCTGGAGATACTTTCCCATCATCTCAGAAGGTACTTACAGAACTGTGGTCGATGAATCAGCACGCATTGACAGTATCCCCACCTGGTTTGAGGGTGTGCGACTCAACTTTGCCGAGAATATGTTGTTTTCGGCGGAGAGATCAAGCTCGGGGCATATCCAGATTACAACGAAGGGCAAGGAGGACAATAAAATTGCTCTGACAGAGATCAGGGAGGGTGGGGCGGAACCACCTCGCAACATTACATGGGCCGAGTTGAGGCGCAAGACAGGGCGAATGGTGCAAGCACTCAAAGCAGCCGGGGTCGTCAAGGGAGATCGAGTCGCCGCTGTAGCAAGTAACAGCGTCGATACACTTGTCGTCTTCCTGGCAACGACGGCTCTCGGAGCGTGGTTCTCGTCAACGTCCACTGACACGGGCGTCAAAGGGATCCTCGATCGTCTGCTCCAGTTGAAGCCGAAGTACGTCTTTGTTGACGATTGCGCAATCTACAATGGGAAGCGGATTGACCTTCGACCAAAAATTAAGGACATCGTCGATGGCCTCCGGGAAGTTTCCGAATTTGAAGGCATCATCGCGATGCCACGGTTCCCAGGCCAGCCAGTCGATGTGACCCACGTGCCCAAAACCCAACCTGTTGCAGCCATTCTTGCAAAGGCACCCTTGCACAAGCTTGAGTTTGTCAGGGTCGGATTCCGGGATCCTTTCCTGGTCGTGTACTCATCCGGGACAACTGGAAAACCCAAACCCATCGTTCACGGAGTAGGCGGAGTCATACTCAATACCTACAAAGAGGCTCGGTTGCACCGTGATCATGGACCAGATTCGACCGTTTTGCAATACACGACGACAGGGTGGATCATGTACCTATCTGCCGTGTCGGGCCTGATGTTCGGCGGCAGAGCCATCTTGTACGATGGAAGTCCCTTCCTACCGGACGCCAAGTTCCTCATCGAGCTACTGGGCAAGCATAAAGTGACTCATTTCGGCACGTCACCGCGCTATCTCCATGAGCTCCGGAAGAACAACATAAGGCCGAGAGACATTGCAGATCTCAGGGCACTCCGCATCGTCACGAGCACAGGCATGGTCCTTGCAGAATCCTTGTTTGAATGGTTCTACGACGAGGGTTTCCCATCTCATACCCAGTTGGCGAATATCTCCGGCGGCACCGATCTCGCCGCCTGCTTTGGCTTGGAGAATCCGCTTACTCCTCTATATGTGGGCGGGTGCCAAGGTCCAGCTCTGGGTATTCCTATCGCAGTATTCGATCAAGCGGATGAGGGTGCTACCGCCGTCAAAGGCAGTGCCGTGGCAGATGGTGTGCCAGGAGAGTTGGTAGCCACCGCAGCATTTCCAACTATGCCAGTCAAATTCTTGGGCGACGACGGCCCGCAGAAGTACTTTGACTCATACTTTGCCCGGTTTGACAGTAAGTCTCCTTCTCTCTCCACCCTCTCAATGCATCTACCATCTACTAACCTATGATATGTAGATGTCTGGACCCACGGTGACTTTATCTGCATCCACCCCATCACAAAGCAAATCCTCTTCCTGGGCAGATCAGACGGTGTCCTCAACCCCTCAGGAGTCCGCTTCGGGTCCGCCGAGATTTACAACGTAATCGACACGCAATTCTCGACCGAGATCGCGGATTCAATCTGCGTCGGCCAGCGACGGCCAACCGACGCCGACGAATCCGTCATGCTCTTCCTGTTAATGCGGCCGGGATACAAATTCACGCCGCAGCTTGTCGCCAGGGTGAAAGAGGCAATTAGGAAGGCACTGAGTGCCCGGCATGTGCCGAAGTATGTCTTCCAGACGCCTGAGATTCCGGTACGTGCTCCTCTTCATGTCTTAGGTAGGACTCGACTATGACTAACATCGTACAGACAACGGTTAATCTGAAGAAGGTGGAATTACCGGTAAAGCAGATCGTATCAGGCAAGAAAATCAAACCGTCGGGTACTCTGCTCAACCCGCAGAGCTTAGATTACTATTACCAGTTTGCGGAGGTTGAAAAGCTGGTCGATCCCAGGAGCAAATTGTAGAGCGTGCTTTACACGAGTCATTGGGTTTTGGACTCGTCCACTTGTCTTCGATGATAGACTAGCCTAGAAGAATTGCATGCCTGTTGACTATGAGCGCTCTAGCCACCATTCTTCCAAGCACACAGCTCTCAAAAACCGAGACAATCCATACCTAGTCGAAAAAGAACGGGAAATCAGACACACAAAGACTATCCCAGAGACGCAGCAAATCCACAAGGTCACAAATTCTGATGAGAGATTGATAGAAGCAAGGGTATCACACCGCAGGAGAGAAACAAGCCCAGGGAACGCAAGAACAGCACGACCATCATATTGACAAGGAGGGATGACCAAGGGTAAGACACGAGGCCATACTCAGCATCGATTACCCTTTTGACCATAGCAATCAGTCATTCAACGGGTAGTTCTGTAAGATGAGCCCTTCTCCCGTGCATGCTTTCGCGAGTGCAGATTTCAAGATGAGCAGAGATGCAGCGTTTACACAACGTGGCTTGCCAGCAGTGCAATGGGTCGTTTTCGATTGGAGGCTTTCATGCACCGAGCATAGCGAGGAACTATTCACATGGCTTGTCGCCTTTATGATAGCCCCCAGATGGAGAGAGTCGCAGCAAAAATGGCAATAAACCGTCTCGCCCTTGAGGCGTGTAGTCTCAGCTGAGAGGACACTCTTCGCCTTCTCAGATCCAGTCATCCAGCCCTTCGTGATATCATCTAGAAATAGGATTGTACGTCAGCACTATGACATTTGAATTCATCGCGTGGAGACTTCGCGGGCCAATAAAGGATATAGGAAGATGATTAGCAGCAATACCTTTGATACGATCTGGAAGATTGAGGTCGGCAGGATACGTAGACGACGGGCATCTCCGAGACATGGTGGTACTCGTGGAGCCCGTAAACAAGGAAGGGTGATTGGAAGCCCAGCTGATATAGACCCATTTCAAGCTGTTGTCCCATGTGTCGCAGACCTCATCGGCCAACCGCTGTATCCAGACTCCAAAGAAAAAGGTACATGCCTCTAGACAGTCGAGATAGCGGACCACAGCAGCGACTTTCAAAAGCATTGCCGAATCCAGCTCCTTAGGGATCTGCTGGCCTTTATTGTGTATTATGTTCATGACAATCAGTAAAGCTTCAGGATCGCAGTCAAGTATATGCACTTCCTCTGGCGGGTCTGCTGTGCTAGTTGCAGAGATACGTTTCTTGAGATGGTTCTTGAAGTAGTTTGATGCCAAACTGAGATGGTTCGACGAGACTTTGAATCGGGCCCGCGGAGTTTCAACTGCAGACGATGTGGTTTCCTCTGAATTAGGAGATTTCTCTTTTGCATCTTTTTGAATAGGTGTGTCCGTATCTGCTTTTGTAGATGTTGGCGAAGTCGACTCCGCTGGTCTTGCCTGTGTTGTTCCCTCTGCTGGGCTGGTCTTGGGGGAAGCTCGTCGCTGTGCGGATAGAACTAGGACAATATCGCCAGAAGCGTCGATCTCGTAGCAGGTATCACTCATCCTATCTTGTTAGGATGGGGACTTAGGAGTCTGATGTGGGAGGAGGTTCATACTTGATGCTCTCTCTTCAAGGGAGGCGACTGGGGGTAGTTAGTTGTAGTTCCCTGATGAAGAGAAGGGAAGGTTAAGACGATCAGTCCAGAGAAGAGAGGATCGAGATGGTCTGTCCAGAGACGAGAAGGTTAAGAAGGTCGATCAACAAACGACAGCAGTTTGTTGTTAGAGAGAGGAGAGTAGAGTGTTGCTATAGCGATGCTTATGTTATTAACCTCACTTTTCACACTACATCTCAGATACTGTGAGCATATTCTCATGATTTGCTCACTAGTAAGGAGAAGGTATGCCAAGGGCATTAGAGAATAGGCTTCTGAGAGAATCGACTCTTCAATATATGAACAGAATTAGAAAGTTCACTGCGTGTACTGGTCAAAACTAGGGTTACATTGTCTTTCAAGTGGGATGGATTTGATCACATATTTGAAAGGCTTAGAACACATTCAATTCCTCTGTTTCACTTGATTGAAGGAATAAGAATCAACTGAGGCCTGAGGGCTTTCACCCAGTCAAACCACACGTGTACTGTCAAGCGGTCCTTCTGACGATGTCAACGCCATTGTTCCGGTAACAAGATGAGTCCAGATAATTTCGTTCGATGGTATATGAGTTCTTCGATTGCTCTAGGTCCCAGAAGTCCACTGCACCGTCCTTTGCAAGATAGCTTAGAGCTCGGTTTCTCGAATTCGACGATTTTCTTAGCCACGCTTTCTGGTGCAAGGCCTTTATAATCGAGGTTCTCGCGCGGCCATGGCAATCCGTGGGTCTTCATTTGCTTCATAAGTGCACCTAGTCTGAATGAGTCGCACTCGGCAGTGCAGATGATCTCGCCAGCCTCCAATCTATGCCGTCTCAATTCCACATCTCTGAATAAAAGTTTCAGCAGCCCTTTCCTTTCCAGGTTGATAGTGCCTTTCTATGTAAGCGTAGCATCTCAGAGATGGCTCATATGAGCTCACTCACCTGTAACAGATAGCGGAATAGGAAGATCCAGCGTATTAATGATGTCCTTGCTCTGTCGTATCGCCAAGCAGGTAACAGAGGCGTATATCTCGCAATCATTGAACACCACGGAAACGAAAATCCACTTGACAATCTCATCACAGTAGGCGTTGGGACGTTTCGCCTTCAAATGTTCGATCCATCTCGCGGGATACAGCCCCAGAGCTCCGTGGCATTTGAAGTAGTTAACTTGGACAGCCAGCTCGACCAACTCGTCAAAGGTCACCGCGGTAGGAACTTCCTGTGTGCGGCAGTGCATTAGATCAAGCAGGATGGAAAACGCCTCAGGGTCAGTATTGGGGAGAAGCATCCCAACGCTGCCGTTCTTCTGCAGTTCTTCGCCCTCGCCCCATTCTTTCTTCAGCCTCTTTTCGAAGTATTGCGAAGCCAAGCTCAAGTGTTTAGAGGAAGCTCGGTATCTGACGAGTCCGGCCTCTCCATCTGAGTACTGGAAGGTGCGTATGCGCGAGCCTGCTTTGGTGGGGTTACCACGAGGTCACTGGCTCTGTTCACTTCTGGGTTCATTTGGAATTTGTCGTCCTTTGAAAAGATTGCCTAGAATGTACAGATTATTTTTGACTGAGGATGAAGTTGAGGATATAATAAAGAGGTCCTGTGAGTTGTTGCTGATTAGTGAACAATGAGTGACATTCACTGAAGTGAAATTGACCGATGTCTTAGGCCTGATTCTTTCACCCTGCTCATAAATTGATTGAGTAGTTAATGATAAGTACTAGACAATATCAACCCAGTGCATGTTATAGTACAACCTGAGACTTGCCTATATAACATGAATGTGTTCACTCTATTGCCACCCTGACTCCATGAGTATAGGATTAGGGCAAGCAACTCATGGTCAGTTCTACAAAGTCCGCTTTGATAACGGCAGTATATATTCTCTGTGGCTTCACTGATGCTTTAAGTACTGTGTGCGTCGAAGACATACGCTGGCTTTATACTTACTTAAGGACTGGGCGACAGGCATGTTCTGATTATGCTTCCTAGAACATCCCCGCCCATGACAGACACAAAGTAACATAATTAAGAGAAGGCCTCATACTTTAGCTGTTGTATTCTTTGGACAATGTGAAGTCAGTTCACACAAAGTCCTCTATACTGATTGTCATGAAACACCATCTCCCCTATCCGCCTGCGGCAGGGATCCCAGCTAACTCTTCAAGCTGACTAGACACAGTCACTGTGTCCCGAATCATATGGAGGCAGCCCAAGCCCTTCGCATAAGATAAAACATAATACAGGGTAAAAATGAACAAGAAGGGAAACCGGGACAATGTACCCATTCTATGCGCCAAGTATACTCCATGGTAAGTATGCAGACCTCCTAACCAGCCGTGCGAGGAGTCGAACACTGAACAGAAAAGACAATGTAGAGGGCCCGTCTACTTGTTGTGAATCAAGAAGTTGCGGAATGAATCCCAGTGATCCGAGTCGGAGTAGCTGAAGACCATTAGTATCTGAACGTATCATGCGGTTAAGGTTAAGACATACATGTATACCATGCTGCTTCTCAAACTCGACATAAGCGTCTCTGGATGCCAACGGAAGATGTACATAACAAGTGCCCAGCTGAGACTCGCAAATACTGGCCAGGCGTTGGCCTCGATCCTTACGCGCGACTCGGGAGTGATCAAAGAGGAGAGAGGGTGCATATTCGGCTGAACAGAAAGCTTGGCAAGAGCAAGTACTACGCGAGCAAAGACGTATATGACGATCTGGACAGGCACATTAGTTTCAAATCTCTCCTTCTCAAACTTCGAATTGATCTCACCTGCTGGGTAATGCTTGTTTTGTGTCGCCCAAACACTGCGTACCCTCCCAGCAGACCCGCAAAGAAGCTGTCATAGCGGCCTTCTTTCCCGACACCAGTAGGATTGACGTTGCGTAGAACAATCATGGAGCCTTTATATATAAGCGCAAAAGTTGCCAGGTTCCGAGCGTGCTGCCGTGTGGCTTTCAGGATGAGTTTGACCTTTTCTCGGAATCTGAATCACGAAATCAGTATTTCGGCAATACTCGGCATGTCGATAGGAGCGCCTTACGTTCCAGAGCGGAATAGAAAGATCATTCTGTGAGACAAAGATACCTTTCATTAGCTGGATTCTCAATGTCAAGATTGAGTGTTTCCGTCAGCGGATTCAGACATACACCAAAGCGTGCGGGAACCGCACTTTCGACCCGTATACAATGCCATTGCGGGCACCCTTGACGAGCGACAGAAGAGGGGCGAGTTGGGGATCGAGGACAAAGGAATCCAAGCGAGACTATACAGCGATCAGAAAAGCGTGCGATATAGCCGGATTGACAAAGTCTAGCGGAGCGTCAAGCATACCAGAAGCGCATCCATGGTGTCTGTGGGACCTCGGTAGGTTGATCGGACCAGCGACGGATGTAATTGATGTCTACCGACGGAGAACACCAGGTGTCAGGAGGGTCAGGATGTAAAAAAGAATAAATTTAGGGAACTACCAGGCGGAATGATAAGGTACAAATATGGATGGGCATGACCCCATCATCAGGAGAGATGGCGGGGGGAACGGTATTTAATGGACTGCACTTCACCCGCGCAACTGCAATGATCCTCGGCATGTGAGGCCACCAAGAGCACAGACGTCATGTCATGTGAGTATATTGTCCAGTCGTCCGTATCAAGATAAAGAGAGAGTTAACTTTTCAAATTATGTATTGAAGGGACCGTCGAGGAGTTCGCCATTTTTATATCGAAGCAAATATGAACTCAAATGTCTTAAATGTCTTAAATGGGAGGCTGGAGGACGAGAGTGAACTGAACAGTTGACTGCTGCTTCTAGGGTAATAAGTGCAGAAACGTCTGAAATAGTGCAAGTACTATGGCCAGTTGATAGAAGAATAAGATAATTTTAATATATGCTGGATACTTTTGAACTATAGCGACCATGAATGACATGATCGATCTGCTCGACGGACTCGACAGAGAAACCAAACCACCTGAACGCCTTATGCGGTATAGATAGACAGAGTATCATGCGTCAAAAACATCGCCAGACAAACGGAGACAGCCGTTTATTCCGTTCTCGCCTTTTTCCGTCCCTCATCATCCGAGACTTCGTCCACGTCCATCATCTCCGCATCCTCCTCATCAGACTCCACACCAGCACGTCGCTTCAGACCCTTCATCTTCCTCGTCTGCAGGCCAGAGAGATCCTGCTTGCCCAAGTGCACACGACCGATCTTGTCACCCATGACATCCATACCGATGTTCTTCTTCGTCTTCATGTTCTCATTAGGTCTCTTGCCCTGCTTCATGGCCTCCTTCAGAGCGCTCTCGGGTGCCTCGTGCAGACGACCGATCTTGAAGTCGAACTTGGGGCCGATCTCGTCCAGCTCAACACGGGGGAGTTTGTGTCCACTGCGCTTTGTCCGAAGCTTGTACCATCTGAGATGAATGACAGGAGCCAGGCCGTCGGTAGGTTCCTCAGCGGCAATCATCAAGGCATACTGCAGTCCCTCGACATCGATCTTATCCGACTCCTCGCCCTTGAACATATCAACGAACATGCTCTTCAGCATAACATGAGCAGTAGAGGTAGAATCCTCCCACGCAGTACCCGCGAACAGCAGCATAGGCCGTAAACCAATTCCGATCTGCATCTTGAGGTTGTTGATCGGGGGGATCGAGTCTCCGTCCGGGTTAGGGAGCAGCATCAATTCGCACATGTCCAGGAGCTTGGAGTCGAATATCCGCGCCACAGTCAAGCAGTTGGGCCTCTTCTTGCTGCTGCTTCCGAAAACGACGATACCGCACTCATTCTTGTTCGCAAGGAACTCGAGGCTCTCGGCGCTCTCGAACGGGTGAATGTTCTCGTTCTTCTTGTGGAAGAGGACGGAGTGGGGGATCGTCAGCGAGTGGAATGTCTTCAGGACTGTGTTAAGTGCGGTGGGACATTTTGAGCCATGCATGAACAGGGTTCTCTTGGGGGGTTCGATGAGCTGGGGCTCGCGGGCCTTGAGAATGCGCGCTGTGCGCGGATTCTTGGGTTTGCTGTTGAGAAAGACTCAGTCAGAAACTGCTCTCCTAACAGACAAATGACACTGCTTCCAGAACAAGACTTACACTTCTCTGAGCATTTTGATATTTCTGCTGTTGACGACGAAAACTTGGATGTTTCGCCGATCACCGACTTGCCTGGTCGAGGAAGAAAAAAGCGGAGCGAAAAGTTTTGGCGGAAATGTCTTGGCGCCGCTTATCGATAAGCTTAACTGGAGACTCTACGGAGTACAAATACTTCTCCCATGTTGATGAAATATTTGATGGACTATACCTATAGATCCAGTAGAAAAGCATACAGGTTCACAGAATAAACTAGCGACCGTCCAAGTAACAAGCAATAAAAGATTCATCTAAAAGTAAAACAGCGATTTTTATTGTTATATCTCCGGGTCATCTATTTACTCCAAGCGAAGCTTCTCAAATTCGCGAATCTGCTCTTCCAACCGCGCAGCCTCACTCTCGGCATCCCGAAGCTTTCTCTCTTCCTGCTCACGAACCTCTGGCTTAACCTTCTCCTTCCATCCAGCGCCATTGACGAGAGTCTGTTGGCGGCGAACAGTCTCGCGTGCCTTCTCCAAGCTGGCCTTAGCCTTCTCCTCCTGCTCCAGAGCTACCTCTTTCGACACACGCAGGTACACAGCGGCCTGGGCACCGACGGGGGCAACGACACAGCCTGAAGGAGGGTTGGTGTCTTCGAGGTCAGCTACGCTGAGCTCTCCCAAAAACTTGCCACCCAGGGACTTGATGCTGGTCACTTCGTCCGAGATGGTCTTGTGGCTGACGGGGTCATAGGTCTGGATAATAATATCGCCCTTAGTCTTGATCTCATACTGGGCAAGGATCGACCGGATAGCCTTGGAGGTATTCAGGATGAGCTCATAAGCTGTCTCGGCTTCGGGGTCGTTGAACTCTGGGTTGTACTGGGGATAACGAGCCTTCATGATCGAGATAGTCTCGTCACCAGGTCTGCGAGGTAGGCGCTGCCACAGGTGCTCTGTAACGAAAGGCATAATAGGGTGAATAAGAGTCAGAGCACCCTCGAGGGCAGTGTACAAAGTCTGCTTGGCCGATTCCTGTACTTCGGCGGGCACCTCAGGAGCCAAGAGATACTTCGAGTTTTCGATAAAGATGTCGCAAAGCTGCCCGTACCAGTACTGATAAGTCGTAGAAGCGGCAACAGAGAACTCACGCTGCGCCAGCGCCTCATTGACCTCCTTGACAGCGGTGTTGAATTTATGCAGAATCCAGCGCTCAGAGAGAGATTCCCGGCCAGTCTTTGAAGGGGCTGGCAGGGGCTTGAAGTCATCACCCAATCTGCCCAAGACGAACTTAGTAGCCTGGTAAATCTTGTTGCAGAAACGGCGGTAGCCGTGAATAACCTGGATGTCGAATGCGATATCACCACCTAGACCAAAGTCAGTCGGTTCTTTGATTCGGCCATCTTAGGCCAGGTAATATCCGAACTTACCACCAGTAGTATAAGACACAAGGGCGAAACGCAGAGCATCGGCACCACATTCGGGAATACCCTTGGGGAAAGCCTTCTTCTGGTACTTGGTAGCAGTTGCAACCTCCTTCTCGGCAAGGTTACCAGTAAGTAGCTTGGCATGGAGAGACTGAAGCTCGATACCCTCCATGACATCCAAGGGGTCAATGACATTACCAAGGGACTTGGACATCTTGCGACCCTCGGAATCTCTGATCAAGGAATGGCAGTAAACTTCCTTGAAGGGCACCTTGCCGGTCAGCTTGATACCAAGCATGATCATACGTGCGACCTGTAAGTTGATTAGCACAGCTACGGCGAACACAACGTAGCGGAAGTCATACCCAGAAGAACAAAATATCCCAACCAGTCTCGAGCACAGATGTAGGATACAAGTTCTCCAGATCATGAGTCTGGCGGGGCCATCCCAGTGTTGAGAAGGGCCACAGACCGGATGAGAACCAGGTATCGAGCACATCTGGGTCCCGGATCAAGGAGAATGTCTTGCCAGGGAACTTGGCCTCGGCCTTCTTGCGGGCTTCTTCTTCGGTACGCCCGGTAACCCACAGGTTACCGTCACTGTCATCGCCGTCTTCGCCCTCGACCTTGACGAAGTAAGCAGGAGCCTGGTGACCCCACCAGAGCTGTCTTGAAAGACACCAGTCATTGACACCTCTCATCCAGCGGAAGTAGTTCTTCTCAGCGGACTCGGGTTTGATGACAATTTCACCATTCTCAACAGCCTTGATGGCAGGCTCGGCGAGATCTTGCATCTTCATCCACCACTGGGGCTTCAGAATAGGCTCAATAACATCATTCGACTTGGCACAGCGAGGAATCTTCATGGGGTTATTCTCCCATTTCACGTACAATCCCTTCTCCTTCAGCATCTCAATGACCTTGTAACGGGCATCGAAACGCTTCATGCCAACGAATGGGCCACCATTCTTGTTAAACGTACCATCATCGTTCAGAACGGATATGAACTCGAGGTTGTGGGCCTTTCCACGGTTGAAATCGTTGAAATCGTGGGCAGGGGTGATCTTGACCGCACCGGTACCGAATTCAGGATCGACATCCGTATCGGCAACGATGGGCATCAAGCGGTCGACGAAGGGATGACGGGCGAACTTGCCAATAAGGTGCTGGTAGCGCTTGTCGTCGGGGTGGACGGCAATACCTGTGTCACCAATCATGGTTTCTGGGCGAGTGGTAGCGATCTCGATTCTCTCCTTGGTGCCATCAATCTCATAGTAGAAGTGGGTCAAGACACCGAATTCGATCTTCTTGTCATAGCCAGGCACGTCAAGCAGTGTACGTCCTTCGACCTCCTTGTTCTCGACCTCGAGGTTGGACAAAGAGGTATTCAGGGCAACACACCAATTGACAAGACGGTTGGCGCGGTAGATGATGCCTTCTTCGTGGAGCCGTACGAAAGTCTCTGTGACGGCAGCCGACAGGTTGGGATCCATGGTGAAAGCCTCACGCGACCAATCGAAAGAACCACCGACTCTCCGCAAAGCATTCTTGATGTTCGCATGGTACTCGTCCTTCCAAGTCCACACCCTCTTCGTGAACTCCTCACGGCCAAGATCGTGGCGGGTCTTCTTTTCCTTCTTCCAGAGCATCTTCTCGACAACACTCTGAGTGGAGATACCGGCGTGATCCATACCAGGAAGCCAGAGAGTGGTCTTTCCCTTCATCCGCTCCCAACGAATCATAGTATCCTGAAGGGCATTGGTAAGAGCGTGGCCCATGTGCAGGGAACCTGTGACGTTCGGGGGAGGAATTGGGATGACGAAGTAACCCTCGGGCTTGACCTTGCCATCGGGGCCGAACTCGGGCTTGAAAAGATCACGTTCCTCCCACCATTCGTACCGGCCGGATTCAATGACCTTGGGATCGTATGCATCGGTTGTCTTCTCCTTCTCGATCTTGTTGGCCTTCTTTTCAGCCTTGACAGGCGCAGGTTTGGCCGCAGCAGCCTTTGCCTGCTTCTCGGCGAACTTCTTCGCCTTCTCGGCCTTTCGTCGTTCTCGCTCTACTAATCAATGGCAACAATCCCACCATCAGCAACCGATGCACATGCTATATTTCCACAATCGACACTAGAGAGACATACACTCTTTCTCACTCTTGACCTTAGGAGCACCCTGCGCATCCTTCGCGGCAGGGTCGACAACCTGGTTTCTGGTCTGATCATCGGCCTGAGGGGCGGGGTCGGTCATAGGAGCTTTCGGCTCACCCACTGATAACATTGAAGAATGTTAGCCATTTGCATCTCTTCCCGCGGTCTGATTGACGATGAGTCACGGCGCAATGCACGGACTACTCACCCGGGTTCGGAGAGGGAGTTGGCTGAGACATCCTTGAGTATGTTTTATAAATCGGAGGAGTTAACAATCTCCAAGGCGCCGACCGCGCCACAAATTGCCGGATAAGTATCTTGAATACTGGGATAAGAACAAGGAGGGGGAGGGGCAGGTGGTTGTGCGAAATGCGGGCATTAAATTTCGCTGGCGCAGAGCAGAGAACGGAACGAATCAGAGGATGTTACTGCGGGGCCCAGAAAAGACTCCGGCGGTGGAGAACGATTGAGTTAAAGGTATGGGATCGATTTGATGTCCAAAAAGCATGAATGATCGATCTAATATATTATTCGGAGAGCAATATGAGTCAACCCGCATTCTTTGATCTTCTGCTTCAAGATACTGACTCGATCGGCTAATCGATAGGGGACGACGCGAGGATTCAATTCACATCACGTGATATATTTCGGCCTGCGCACGAGCAGCAATTCGACTTAGTTTCTAGAGAGGTACTTTCCTCCTTAAAGCAGCATCTCTGGCCGAGTATGACATTAGTTTGATCTATCGAAAGTTGCACATTAAGGCAAACGATACTCAAAATCCGGAAATGCATGCTTTCGCCACTTCAAAAGGAGACAGCTTAGAGAATCAATTAAGCACCCAATAAGACCCCCTCACTCCTTTTCATGACCAGAACGGAAGACATTAAAGACACAGATGCGCGGTAGACACAGGAGGGTGGTGGCATAAGATAAACTGAAATTGGTAATGGAGAAGGCGAATCCCACAACACCATCGAGGCAGTTTACGAAATTGAACAGACAAGGAAGATGTGGAAAAGATGTGAGGAGCATGGAAAGTGAAATATAAAATATCAATCAGTCCGGACAGGTCATCAGATACATTGGAGTGTGCTGTACGCCAAGACTGAGATGAAATGGGCTCTATACCCAGGCAACATATTAGGTGTACGTCATCTGTCATCATCGTTTGGTTCCGCATCCCATCGCACATGGCACAAACGGTGCGTAAAGTGATACCAGTAAGAGGCAGCGAGTGGCCGCCGTGGGATCCCGTTTGCACCTGTGTTGATTGATTGTCACCACTCTCTTTGGACCCAGATATTGACTCAAAACTTCGAACCAAGCCGGCGGTGTTCAAGAACGCAATTGAATCACAGCAGGTGCTGAGTTAGGGTTCGGTAGATCCCTCAATGTATGAAGTAATAGTCAGGTCAACAACGCCTGGCTTCACGATTGGGACGTCGCATTGTTCCGAGCGGCTTGCGACTCCGCTGCGCGAACCGGGGCGAAGTAGGGATGAGCCATGGCCTCCTGGGCTGTAAGCCGTTCCTAAAAAGTGAAGAAAGGTCAACACTGATAAGATTTGAAGGAGACGAGGGAGACTTACAGCATGATCATATCGAAGGAGTTTGTCAAGGAAATCGATCGCTTCATCGCTGATGAAGCGTTGGTTGTCGGCATTTATGAAAGAGTGCCAGGGCTTTCTCGGGTAGCGAGAGAGTATTTCATCATACTGAGGGTCGAGCTCGATGTCGTACTTATCCAAGTACTCAAAAAGCTCCTCGGTTCCCAGTACCTTGGCGATCTTCACCAGTTGATCTGAGTTGCTCTGGCCGTGGAAAAAGGGCTCCTTGCGGAAGATCATGGAGGCAAACATCGCGCCCAGGGACCACATGTCCAGGGAGTAATCGTATTCCTGGAAATCAACAAGCAGCTCAGGGCCCTTGAAGTAGCGTGAGGCGACTCGGACGTTATATTCAGTGCCTTTGTGGTAGAACTCGGCAAGACCCCAATCGATGAGCCGTAGCTAAGGTGCCTTGTCAGCGAATGAACTATGATGGGGCGTACACAATAGAACTCACCTTGCGCTTCTCATGGTCAATCATGACGTTGTGGGGCTTGACATCCCGATGCATGATGCCTTTGCTGTGGCAGAAATCCAGAGCCTTCAGAAGCTCATACACATAAAAGCGCACATCGTAGTCGGTGAAACGAGGGTACAGGGTCCGGAAGTCGGTGTTGTTGACGTATTCGAAAACCAAACTCGGCGTCTTGCTCTGACTGTCACGAACCACATCCAACAGGGCTACCACGTTCGGACCACCCGCCAGATTCTGGAGAATTTTGATCTCACGCTTGATCTTCTTCTTCTTGACCGGTTTGAGGACCTTGATGACACACTTCTGGTAGTTGACGACATTGATGCCCTCGAACACTTCGGAGTACTTTCCCCGGCCTGTATTGACAATCGTCAGCCTTCAAATGCAACTATTCGTTGTGGCACAGGTCATCCACGATAATGGTAAGGCTCCCGTTAGGTGAATAGACCGGATCTGCTCACTCACCAATCTTGCGGACCACTTCATAGTTCTCCAAAACCCCCCAGGATATGTTCACACTATCATAGTCCCAATAGGACCGAGGCATATGCTCGTTAACATCGGCATAGACGCGCGCCATGGTGATGGCGGCTGATTCGCAGCTTCCGAGTGCGCCCACAATGGACGGGAGATAAAATGCGGCGGCGGGGTACAGGAGCAGCCCGACACAGAAACTGTCGCAACCAGGAATTGAGATGGAGGACAGACAACAGCTACTGCAAGACTAGGAGCATACAGGCCTGTCTAAACAGTGTAGCCGTGCTATCGTCCAAATTACAGATGGCTGGGATTGTATATTGGGTGGTGATGAGAATGGAGAGGGCCGTTCGCTCCGCCTTCCTAGGCACGTGACGAGACTTTGGGGGAGCGGTCCGAATCAATACTAGCGCCCTTCTCGGGACGGAGCAACTTGTTGATGCGGGATAGTTTCTAGATTTCCTTTTGCAGACAAGTTTCGACAGCTTCGATAGCTTATGAACAAGCAAGCTTTGTGAGAAGAAGATTGGTTGGAGGATAGCGGGCTCATACTTGGCTTTTTAATCTTCCAAAATGTTTTATGATCTGAACGTTCCTTACTCTTCGGATGATCCCGAGATCTCTGATACATTGAGCTTTCTCGCAGAGCGTATGTCACTCTTACCGGGCACAAGACCTAAGCGGCGTTCCGCGACGCTGAAAATGACCACCTGAGGCACTGACCTGACTGCCAGTTGGTTACACAACCGTCGCTCTCTCGCAGACTATCAGTGGAAAGCTTCCATCAAACCTTGCCCCGCCACCTGCACCCGCGAATGCTCCCAAGAATTTGAAATTGCTTTCTCGTGTGAACTTGACGTTGTCCGACCCCGCACAGAATCAGCGCCTCGCAAGCTTAGCTCAGGTGTATGACCTGGTTGCGCTTCGCCCTACCAATGAAAAAGCCCTCCTGAATGCATGCACGAATCTCGAATGCGACCTGATTTCTCTGGATCTCTCCGTGAGACTTCCGTTTTACTTCAAATTCAAAATGCTCTCCGCCGCTATCGAACGAGGGGTTCGGCTGGAAATTTGCTACGGGCCTGGAGTTACAGGGAGCGGGCTTGAAGCCCGTCGGAATCTCATCGGCAATGCTATGTCCTTGATCCGTGCGACACGCGGAAGGGGAATCGTTGTGTCAAGTGAGGCAAGGAGGGCCCTGGGCGTGAGGGCCCCATGGGATGTCATCAACCTGACATGTGTATGGGGTTTGTCACAGGAACTCGGCAAGGAGGCAATCAGTGAGGAAGCAAGAAAGGTCACCGCGCTAGCTAAATTGAAACGCACAAGCTGGCGTGGGGTCATTGACATCGTTGACGGGGGACAGATGTCAAAGTCACAAGTTGTGGAGTCTGGAATGGGACAGAAAGGCATGTCTAAGAAGAATGTCTCGCAGGCTCAAGTGACCGGAGACAACCTGAAGAGGAAGGCGTCTCTCGGCTCAGAGGCAGCCGTTGAGGAGATCGAGAAACCGCTGTCCAAGCGTGAGATGAAGCGAAGGGCTAAAAAAGCGCGGTTGGAGGCAGGAGACCGCGGTGGCAACGCAGCAGGCCCTGGTGCGACTGTAGCCTCTGGCTGAATATGGCTCGGCGAGCGAATCACTTGAATCTTGCCGCAACACCACTTCTCTCATGGCCCGGCCCTTCCGACGAGTTCCGGAAACGTCATTGAGCGTCCATACAATGCCTCATGATGTTCCCGTCACGGATAGTTGGATTGGTGTCTGAGCCTCGCGCACTGCATCGGCGAGTTGGTCGGAGACGTGCGCGTTGCTTTCGCGTTGTGTCAAAGCCGATATTCACCTATACTGAGTATAGTCTGTTTCACTCTGCTGTCTATCCCGAATGTGCCCGCTTGGGCACTCCCGTGAGAGGACACCACTCTGCTGTCGCATATCGGGCACTCGAGACATGCAGGTCTACATCATTGCAACGAGCTGGATCTACCGACCTATAGCTGCCACATGCAGCAGCCTTTCCAGTTAGGGACCCGTAGCAGCCACTTCGATTGCGCTCACTCGGCATATCGGACAGCCCGATGCGGTTGGGTACTACCCGTGCCTGTGGATCTGAGATTCGACCTCATCTCGATTTGAAGCGCCGGGAGGCTCATAGGCCTCGGTAATGGACGCATAACTGGTCTGGCGGGCGCATACATTGGCAGTAAGATTGTGCAAAGCCACGGTGCTTCAATTACATCATGCACATTCCCTACCATGATCTGGAACTCGGTAGATGATATGAGATTTAACTTGAATACAATTGTCACTGCTCACTTAGCGGTATGAATGCTGTAGTCCTATCGTACAACCAACCATTGCAAACTACTAGGATTAATGATATCATCTTTTTAGCAAGCTCGCCGGCTGAACATAAGCGTTCGCACACCTTGGCGAGCTACCGATCAGCGCGACCAGCCCCGTCCAAGATATATATATATATATAACCCCCTCACAGGCATCACCACGACAGGAAAACCCACCGCCAGCTCCTACCAAATAACTAGACAGAAAAGTTCGAAGAAAAAGAAAATCTACACCAATCCCCAAAGATGGAAACATACTAAAGACAAAAAAGAGCGAAAAAAGAAAGCTCCTACCCGGATTCGAACCGGGGTTGCCGGAAGACTCAGCGAATGCTCAAAATCCGGAGTCATAACCACTAGACCATAGAAGCGATTTCTGTTAGTAACGCTAAGTAGAAAAGCTTATCAGCCAAAGAATAATTGTAACCAATAGCTCATCTACCAGGGCAATAGTCGAATAATAATTTCACGTCACAGCTGGAAATGGACAGTTACGAGATCGCTTGTTATCCTGGCTACAGAGAAGGGGAACTGGCAGTTGACGAGTCTAATAAAGCCTCCGCCGGCTGCAACCAATGGAAGACTTCGCCGAAGTATGAACCTTTGCCTACCTTGCTGTATTCCTCCGCAGAGGTAGCTTTAGGTCTAAGACTGTCTAGAGGCGATTTGATTAAAAAACCAGGGCAAATAGTCTAGGACGCAGAGGTCTGTTGAAATGTATTCGTGAAATGCACTCAACTTAGATAGTGACGATGATAATCAAGTAAGGCAAGGTATCATCCGATATCGAAGGGTAAAAGTACTTGTACATGAACAAGGTATCATAGGTAAAGGAAAAGTATTATCGGCAATGGAACAGCAAGCCAAAGTCATGAGTCATGGTTGAAAACGCAAGGGTATGAAAGCCACCAGAAAGCCATGCAAATAACTCCCAGAGCATCAAGATAATGTACCAGATTCCCTCAGAGACAACACGTCAGTCCTTGGAATGATCATGAGGCGGGAATCACACAGCCGACTCGAATGTATGAAAAGAAACAGAAAGCAATAGAAAGGAAATCGTCGATACGAATTCGCCTTAAGTGCTCTCCAGGTCCACAAGGACTTTCAAGTCGCCATCCATCCAGTCCACGTTGCCAGCCGAAAGAAGGGACATCGTCCAGTCGCCGTCATTCTGTACTGCAGCCAACCCATCGGGAAGCCAAGCCTTGAACTTCCAACCGAGCGAAGAGCCCCATGAGCCCCCTGATGCATCCACGGCAGAATCGGAGGGTAGGCCCGGCAATTGACCTGCGAATCGACGAGAAATGAGCTGCTTTAGCGTCTCCAGGTCGGGACACTGCACAGCGGGTACATCAAGGCGAGGAAGGATACGCTTTCCTTGCTGCATGATATTTATACGAAGATAGACGGAGTTCGGAGGTGCAGACATGGAGCTATGTGCATTGCTATTTGCGTTTCCTGGCATGGAGGAAAACTGCGGTGGCGGGAAGAGTTGAGGTTGCGGCATCGGATCATGGTCATGAGTAGAAGTGTGAACACCTTGCTTAGCGGCCAAGTTGTCGCGAATAATGCGCGAAACATCGCGGGTGATGCTGCTTGCACTGTAAGGGTATCAGTCACCGTACCTGTCGCAAGAGATGATAACTGGAAGCAAGTATACATACAATTCATTTCTGGCAGTTGTGTTGTGGCTGCCGCCGATTCGCCAGCGCAGATCCGATGTGACATCAGCATTTACGATGCGATGTATGTTCTCATCCTCACAAGGAGCAGGGCAATCGTAGCCGCCCTCATGAACGACCTGGTAGTGACTATCGACTGCGGCAACCAAACCTCGCCAGTCCGGCTGCTGGAGACCCGAAAGATACCATAGATTATCGAGCTCAAAGTCGTGATTATACATATCATAAGTCTTGTGAATTGCATTCCAGTCATGCGTATATCCGTCGAGTAGAAGATTTGTCAGGCCGAGCTCCATGTTTTGTGATGTCGAGTCCATTTGGGGTTGAGGTGGTGGCATGGGGACCTGAGACGATGAATACTCTTCTGGCATATGATGATGAGGGTGCATCTGAAGCTGCCCGTCAGAGGAGAATCTCGGCGGACTTGCGCTGGTAGTGAAGGTCTGAAAGCTTTCATTCGTCTTCCGTCTCCTTCGCTCATCAGCGCCGCCTCCTTTCCGCGTTTCAACAGCATATTGTCGCTGGCGTTCATTGGTAACCATCCTCCGGAGTAGCGGAATCACCAAAGAAATGATTTTCTGCTGGTCGCGCGGCCAGATGTAAGACCTCGGACCCATGCCTTCGTTGACGACATTCTCGCCGAAGAACCGTTCTCCGTTCCCTTCGACCTCCAAGAAGTGGCGCACACAGTTCCAAAGTCTTAACTTAACCATTTCGGTATCACCTTTGCCGCGCTGGCCGACGCATTCCCGTCTCTCAGGATGTTTAGGATCGAGCATATATGCCTTCGCGGCCGCTTGCAAATGCAAGAAGTTTTCCGGCGACAACTCCAGAGAGGCGAAGAGTTTCGACATTGGCGGACGGGTGTGTTTCTTGTTACTGGAAGGTTGGCGGAAAAGCGCAGCGGCGGAATGAACGCCAGCGGCGCGAGCGTCAGACAGAGACTGGGGCGGGACGGCTCTAATATCCAAGCTGTCTCCGTCATAATGGTGAGAAGGCGGGTGAAGATGGTGTTGTTGCTGTTGCTGCGATTGCTGCGGACCACCAGGAAGGCCTACTCCGCCGGTGGCTGTCAAAGCCGGATCAAGTGCATCCTCTCCTCTTTTCCGTTTCTTGGAGACCGATCTTGACAATCCTGAAGACTGGCCCTGGTCGTTGACCGAAGCCGACCCTGATCCGCGTAGCTGTCTACCTGCACCCATCCCTGCCCCAAAACTTCCATCTCCGAAGCCGTCGTCTTCAATATGTATCTCCGGACCATAGCTATCCAAGTGATGTTGATGACCGGCTGCTCCGGCCGCTGCAGCCACCGCCGCCGCTGCGGCCCATTCTGAGACGTCCTGACCGGCCGCTGCTGTCGCGGCTTCCACCAAACCAGCTAACTGATTGTCATTTGGGGCATATCCGCTGGTCGCTAGATGCGCATGCGAATCAACATGAGAGGTATGAGGTGTCTGGTTAGAGAACTCCGGGCCCGAAGTCGCGGGAGGATGCTGGTGGTTGGGCGTCGACGTGGACGTCATGACGATTTCGAGTATGAGGTTGGTCGCCAGGTCACGAGTCGTCCTGTTCGATGAGGAAGGAGCTGATGTGGGAGTGTCTTGAAATGCGGCGACTGGTCGGCGCGGGGGTTATGACAGCGTCAAGCGCGGAGGACCGTAAACGGAATGCTGCGATTGATAATCTGTTTCGCAACCTGAACCCCAGTCTTCCTGGACCGAGGGAATGAGTATCTCTTCCGAGTACGCCGGGAAGACAAAGAGGTTGCGAATTAAAATAGATTTCTATAGGAAAGTCTCCTTCAAAAAGATCGGCCCATAGCTAGGCAACTATGACCGTTTCGCGCGAATTGTAAAGCCCTCGTCCCCTTGCGATGTGTGAGCTCGCTCCAGCCAGTGTCACCGCCTGCTGACGAGGCGACAAGGAAGCTTGGAAAGCAACAGGATCAAAAGTGGACAGAGATCAGTGAGTTAAAGCTTCCCACTATATGTATTTCGCGTGAATCGCGATAAGTTGATGAATCAATCAGATTGTAGCTTAGATGACGCTGTTTGCGCGGTTTGAAGAGAGGACAGACAATGCAAACTCTGCAGGAGCACAAGGCGCTGCTTCGGATGACAGATAATCCGAGACGGTCACATGACCATACCATTCAATCATGAGATGAGGTGAGTAAAATATCGACAAGAAGATCAAAAAGCAGACAGCAAACAGCATTTTGCAAAAACTGACTATCTTAGATAAAGTAAACTGTCTATATGACAACTCCAGAGCCGACCCAGATGACAATCATATGCGAGAGTGAGTGTAAATAGTGCAAATGCTGGAGCATATCCCCTGTAACAACCTCTCTTCTGCCTGCAGAAGTGCGAGGAGGTTCTAGAGTCTATTGCAAACAAATGAAGATATCTCACTTTTAATAACCGTCACCCTCGGTCCATTTTCTACCTGCTTCCAAGGCCCGAGCTTTGGGGTCCATACCACGCTCGGCGGCACTGTAGAGAACCTCGTTGATCTTCTGTTCTTTCTCATAGATTTTCTCCTGAAGAGATGAATCTTTCCCGGGCTCGGGGATGTCGAGGTGGCTCGTTTCTCCCAGGGTACCACGCATCCGAGCAATTTCGACAGTCTGGGCTTGGGATTTCCATCGCTTGAGCTCATCTTCCAATTCCTGTTTCTCATGGCCCAGTCTCCGGTAGGCCTCGTACTCTTCTTTACCTCCGAAGCAGAGCCCATAGCCGTCACAGAAGCAAATATGAACCTCGGGGCAGACGATGTGTTCACCAGTAAATATCACATGCCAGAGGTACTCCCAAATACGGCCTGATATGTAGTCGCTTAGTTCTGTCCGGAGGATCCAATCTCGGTAGAAGACAAAACGCGCTTTGGGAATTGCCAGGATTCGCTCCCGAGAGACGGCAAACTGAGCACAGCAAGGCTGCGCCAGGACCTGTGGAATAGGGTCGTCCGGGAAGATCTCCCCCCAGGACCGCGCCAGCATCGTCTCCTCTTGCTTCTGTTCGTTGTCCTCTGGGTTACTGGGATGCATCCAGTCGGGGCAGCCGGGCTCCCATATACACCGCAGATTCATGTATCCCTCCCGGACCACTCGCGCAACATTCAAGCGACGCAGCATCTCGGCCGCATCGCCACCAAATATCTCCTCGTTGTGCCATGCGAACTGATGTGAATGCATGAACGCCACAATATCCGGCAGCTTGTCGTAATGCTCGATAATAAAGCTCAGATAAACCATCACTTCATGTCCCTTATTCTTCGGCGGATGTAGGGGTGACGACGGGTCATCTACAACATAGATTGCCGACTGCCAGTCGGGAAGCTCGGCCGCGATCCAATTCGTATCTTCGTTCTGCGTCTTTGGGACAACGAGCATCTTCGTATACTCGGCTCCGTCGGGCTTGGGGACACCAGGCACATATTGCGGCCGGGGAGCGTATGGTGTCCGGGACGGGCGGTTCTCCACCAAACTTATGTTCAAAAGCCCGGATGGTATCGGGCTAGGTGAAGCGACCAGTTTGCCCAGCCCCACGGCCTCTGGCGTCCGCCGCCATTGTCTCGAGAGACTATTGACTGTGTAGAGGAAGATGAGGAAAAAGGCAAGACCAAGGAGGGGAACCGCTCGCCGTGAGGAAATCATCGAAGAGAATATGGAATAATATACAGGTTGAAGAAAAGAAGAATAGAGTAGGCTATCAGAGTCATCTCAATTACACTCATTAGCCTCAGTAATCTAGAATATACTCGCGGTGAAGGTCGGGAACAGCAAAAGCTCAAGAGAACCGCTGCAGATGCCCCTGAAGACGTATAAGGGGCGCCATAGGGGTAATTAACAACTCACCGGCCAGTTCAAGACAGTGAGCAGATCATGGGCTCACTCGCAAGGCTATAGGAACCAGCTATGAGGAGAATAATCCGGCTCCAGAAGCGAAAAGCAGAGGGCTGCGACCTCAGCGGCGCAAATACGTAGATAAGACTCCAGTAGCCTGTAGCCAGTAGCCGCAAGCTGGCATACAGAACGCCTCAAAGCAGCGACCAGGGAGAAATTCGACTGAAAGAAATTGACTTGAACTCAAAAGAATAATACAGAGTTGAATAGAAATCGGAGAATTTAGTCTTGGTAGGTGTTCACACAGACCGATATGCAAAAGACTGGCGCATTATTCCCCAACCCGGGCGGAGGTGGAGCCCGCGTAATCAGTGGTGACGACGCAGGGTCGAGGAGGCCGATCACTCCGTAGGGAGAAATAATGTCCCAATCCCAGATTGCAATAGGTAGATAGAAGATTATTGTTCTCGCCAGCTAGATATTAGTGTATCAGTACCAGAACAGACCATACCTTGGATACTCTCTATGAAAAAGATTACTCGTAGCATCCCATCTCCAAGTTCCCTTCACGGTCCCAAAGTGGCCAAATGTGAAACACGGGCTAGGCCCTGAATGGCGGGCTGCGTCGGCGAGGTTAATTTAGCTTGAGAGTCTTATTGGAGCAGTAAAACGATCTGCCCCTGATCTGTAGGAATGGAATGGTGGAGGCCATTCCTAAGGTAGGGTATCCCCAGAATATCTAGTCGAGATACTCGGTACCCTATTGTTCTGTCTCAACAGGGGTTGAAATCAAGATCCATAAGCCTGAATCGATGATCGGTTCTATTTCTAGCATTGCAATGCTTTTGAGATAACCTCACATAGCAGATAGAACTTCCATCTCCAGAGCTGTCACATTTCCGTATACACAAGAATGCAACACTTGGGACGAGCAGACCAATATTTCAGCACGTAGAAGGTAAGGTTATGTACAAAAGACAGGATGAGACATTCAGGGTTCTCTGCAGCGTTCCATGGTAAGGCTCAAAAACAGAATTTAAGATCATCAGACAATGTAGTGGAGAGAGAAGTACCATGTTCTTAGTACATGAGAAGCGCTGCGATATGATGGTATATACTCACAACAAACCCGGGTATGATTCAGAATCGCTCAAGAACGCCATAAAACAACATCACAGAGGAATATGCACCATGAAGAGATATCAAGATAGTTAGTCGGGCAGACAGTCAGGCTTTCAAGCCTCCTCGTCCGCAGCATCCTCAACTGTCACCACCCGGGCCTTGCCCTTTGAGGAGGAGGATTCTGGTGATTCGTCCGTATTTGCGGCTTCGTCATCCCATGCGGACGATTCCTTCTTTTCTGACGGCTCCCCGAAGACCTCTTTGCCCAAATTTCGAGATGATGCTTCGATAGACGAATGCGTTGCTGTCGTGGGAGTTTCCGAGCCCCCGTCAGGCAGCGAGGAAGTAGTGGATCTGGGTGCATCAATCGTACCCGCGCTTTCCCCATTCATACCCGCTGCCGGCGCCGATTTCTCAGTGACAGAGGGATCCTCACGCACTTGCACCGTGGGGGTAGGTTCTGGAGCAGTTGTAGGAATTGGACTCGAGATACCGATTGGCCCCTGTCCGGCTGATTGGAGGGGAATGAGAGACCAGCCTTCTGGGAGGCTAAGGCCCTCTGGGAGTCGAGAATCGCCGGATGGAATGGGCGAGGCTTGAGGATCCGAGGTGAATTGCCTATGTAATGTAGCCGACAAAGATGAAGAAGGTTGGAAAGTAGATGCTGGGGATATGGTGGTGTTCGGGTCGCTGGAAGCTGCAGGCGGATTGCGAAGTCTTTGTAGCTCCGCCTGAAGCAGTCGCACATGATGCAACTGTTCGGCAGTAACACGGAGGTTGTTGATTTCCTGCATTATCTGCAGTTCCATCTGGTGAAGCTGATTCTGCATCTGCACAAAGTTCGATGGCGTATTTGTCGGGAGAGCTTGGGGCACTGGCGCTGGGATTGGTCGTCCAAAACCGAGCCCGAAACCAATCTGCCTTGCACCGGGCGGGATTGCGTTATTCGCTTGTTGTTGCGCCGGGACATTGCCTTGATGAATTTGTTGGTGGAAATTGCGGAAGAGATCGCCCCGACCAGCTCCAAAACCAATCCGGAATGGCCCAAATTGGAATATACGGGCTCTCGGTAGGTTATCAGCCGGTCCATTCGGACCAAAAGGCTGATTGCCAGCCGGCACATTTGGTTGCGGACCGGCGCCACCGTTGCCTTGACCGAGATTGATATTTCCGGGAGGGTGATCGCGGTCACGCGGAGGCGCCATGACGGGGCGTCTGCAGGTGGGACAATTCTGCTGCCTTTCTAACCAACTCCGAAGGCAAGAAAAGTGTAAGATGTGACCGCAGGGGAGTTTCTTTGGACGTAACCTTTCGGGAATCCGAGTCCTTGGCTGAGCAGGTGCTGCCCCGCCCTCACCAGCGCCCGCAGGCTCCTGCCAATGAGCCATCTCTTCACGACAAATGATACATACATCTTCTCTTGCTACCTCCTCAGGCGTGGCATCTGGGTAGCGCTCGTTCATGTCGCGGGTTGCATTGCGGTAGCGGACGAAATCCATTATCCGTCGGACGAAAGAACGGATAGTGACGACCACGTCGCGAAGGATATGGATAGGCAGGCCGTAAAACATGAAAAGGATGGCGAAGAAACTCAAGTAGACCGTCAGCTTGAAGAAATCGGTGAGTAAATCGAGGTAGAAGATCCAACGACCCTTCTCCTCCCAGCCTGGAACATCAATTTCCATCTCGTCGATATCATTCTCGTCCGGAAGATCGGCAGCTGGAGGCGTCTCTCCGGTTTGGGCATTTTGGCGTAGGGCTTCTTCTCTGGCCGCACGAATTTCCCGGCGGCGCTCTTCAACCTTGGCCTTTATCTGCTGCCGTGTTATGTATAGCTCAACTAGTGAGATGGTGTACCTGGCGGCGGTCGAGCTCGAAAGGATGGTAAGGACGGCAAACTCAAACCCGAACATAACCATCATATCCGGTCGCGCTTGTTCAAGAACGGTCGTTATGCAGTATTTCAGCATGAATGAATCAAACAGAACTGCCAGTACGAGGGAAATCGCCAGCCGGGTGTGAAACAAGCGCGGATTGGCCGGGGGTTGCTGCTCCAGGAACTCGACGCGGCCTTCACCAATCCAGCCCCAGACCTTTCCAACCAATAGACAGACAAACATGACCAAGAACCATCCGCCAAGTTCCCCCCGGAATATTGTCATCGCCAGGCATGTTTCTGTGACCGCAAACCATGCCTTTTCGTAAAGCTGTTCGGTCTCAATCGGCCGCAAGGGTCCGTACAGGAGACGTTGGAGCCAGAACAAGAGGAACCCGACGACGAGAAGACACAAATTTGTAAGTATCTGCGGTAAGTCAGTATTCTGTGTTATTTCGCCGGCCTCGTTCTAGAACGACCACCGGGAGACTCACCATGAGATTCGCGCTGCTCTGAGAAAGGTATACGCAAGCGGCGTAGAAATTAGCCCTCTGATGAAGCGCTTTCAGAACAACGGCCGTAGCCAGAGCCGCAGAGGCCTATAGAGAATGTTGGTCAGCCTGTTGTCGAGTCCAAGCTTCGTCCGCCTCGTGCAAGCAACTTACCCCAGCATAAGCGGCTAGTCTCATGGCCAGAAACTAATGAGGCGAGTTGGGAGCCCTATGTCATTGATATAAACACGAAAGGGGATGCAGCCAAAGTCAAGGTCAATAAGGCATTAGAAAGTCTGTTGATGCACAGCGTCCGTAGCGAGTGAGAGATTAGAAATGTGGCCGGAGATGGATCGCGTGTAGGGAGGTTTTGGACAGCTATACCTGTAGACTAAGACTACAACTCGTGGGGAACCATTCGGCCCACCGCCCGAGTTCCTTGCCTTACGTCAGCGATCATCAGCTTATCAGCCAAAACCCAGGAGTCAAGACTCGGTTTTCCCGAGTATATCCTTTGTTTTTGTGATTGAGAGACTGTCAGAAGGTTGGAGGGCGGATTAGAGTTGGATGCTGGCTTTTAGTGAATTCTAATTGCTTCGTATGGTTATCGATTGCAATGCAACCCTTCACCGAAATACTGCGGAATATAAACAAACAGGCAGAAGCTGATACAACTGCTGTGTCACTCCGAAGATCCCGTAGTATGTTCTCCTCTCGTCTATAATTGATCTGCATTAAGTTCCTAGATTCTCAGCTCGAATACGATATGCGAGTCGTCGATTTGGGAATGGATATTTAGATCATGTGACCTGGATGTCAGACAGGTGATGGCTATGCATCAGCCGTAATCATCCTGTTCAATTAATCCACATCGAATCATTCTCATCATCTCGCTTGGATCTTGATGCGGAATCGCTCTAGCATAGTCACATACAAAAAGAAGTCGAAAGGTCTCCGCGGACTCACCGAGCACATCGGCCAGACTATGATTTGGGTGATATGATGGCGTCACAACCACCTCTATTTACAGCTACCCGCACTCAGACATTCACATATCTGCTTGCCGTCTGTCCCTTCTCCATTGCGTTTTTGGTCTTCGTCAATTCATCTGTCTCATTCGTGGTCACTGAATTGATCGGACTACATGATGGTGAAGGAGACGCTGTTGGCACCTTGGGATTTGCTGATGAACTGCTCGCGCTGGCCGCGTGCCCATTATGGGGGGTGCTCTCTGATCGTATAGGCGTCCGCAATGTACGTTCCGTCAATCTTATCTATCGGTATAGTTCCATATCACTGACATGCTCTCAACAAAGGTTTGC